TATATATATATAAGATTTTATTCACAGTAAATGAATAAAACATTTATTGTACAGTAAATGTCTGTATAATATTGGCATTAAAAGTTATTTAATTAAATTTTTTACTTTTTATTTGATTTGATTTTTTTTGAACTGCAGATATAATAGCAATATATATATATTTTTTAAACACTATAGTCGTATGGTGTTGCATCAGCATTGGTGGAAGAAGAAAATCACAGAACCAGATGTAAAGAAAATCATTTGGTTTAATTGAAAAAATCAGAACCAGCTCTCAATTCTACACTATGGAGTACTAGATACCGCAATTTCCATGATTTATTTTGTTGGCTGTACACATTTTTGTGTGTGAGAGAGATTTGACTTTCCATTGGTCTGCCAGGGCGTTAGTCAGACCTTTAAAATCTGTTAATTATCTTCTAATGAATGACTTAACTCAATGGCTTTGAGAATTTGGCTCCTGGCGGCGCTTACTAAATACTTTTACAGTAAAACTGACTGAGCACACTGTAAATGAATTCGAATCCATTCGTTCCAGATGATGTTTGGTCGCTGAGGATGGAGTGAGTTCACATATCTCCCCTCCAGGCACGGTGACACTATATCGGCTCTCACACATCCTGGACTGATTAGTTAACCGCTCCGCCGTCCCTGTGTACGTGTGGTTGCACAACAGCGGGAGATTTCGTTGAGATTTTTGTGTGCTGTTGAGTAAAAATGCACCAAAGTTCTCACGGTTCCATTCACCCACCTCTCCTTTCCTCTCCTCTCCTCTCATTGGCTGCTGAGTTTTAACAGACAGCTCTGTTGCCCCGCCCACACCGCAGGGTTGCCACAGGCAGTGAAACCGATGCTGCCAGCGTTTAAATATTTCCCTCTGCTCATATTGGGGGGCCTGAGGCATGCAGTCTCGATTCTGTCTCACTTTATCTCCCAAGAGGAAAAAGTAGGCATGCATGCATTTTTTTTTTTTGGATCTGTGAAAAATATTACAGTCTTTTATGTCCACTCAAACACTCGCCAGTTTTTTTCTTCTAAGATGTGACCTGTGCTCTGTGTTTGAGTCAAAAGCAACATTTGCCTGGTCTGTCTCTACATGAATAATGATTTCCTCTTCCTTATTTTTTAATTTGACATGCATTACATCTTAACGTAAGCCATTCCGGTGAGCCCTCGCTTACCTGACCCTGTCAGGTGGAATTTGCCGGTGGATTTCACGTGCCCAGGGGAGGCACCATCATCCTCGAGGTTTAGTCAAGACCTGTTCGTTGCTGTTCAGGATCATCTTGTGTGAGTTTGGTATGGTTTGAGATGACAAACGAGAGCGGTACAGGAAAGGAGATGGCAGTAAATTTGACTGAGCGGGTTCTGGTAGCTTGTTCACTAGGCTTGGCTTGGGTGTAGTACATTAGGCAGATGACTTATGATGACAGCTGGATTGAACGCTCTCCCATATCCTACAATACCTCCGGCCACCAGAGGGCAGTACTGCTGAGAGCATGTGCTCACACACATACAATTCTGTTGTTGTTGTTTTTTAAAGGGTATTATCTTTTTTTACAGCAAAATCCCTGTTTTGTGGTGCTTCTATTTATTGCCTCCAGCTATGCTGCTGGAAAACATTTCCAGTGCTCACAGAACATAAGAAAACATATAATCATGACTTTGGACAGTGTTGGGTGGCAGTGCAATGAAACTCCATCTATAAATATCTTAAGAATTAATGTATTAAAGGAATAGCTTAACCATTAAAAAAAAGCATTATTTACTCTATTAATTACTTTATACATTTTTTAGTGTTAAATGCAAAACCACCATAACAGTATCTTAACTGTAGTCTGAGTGCTATATTCCTAGTTTTTATGACTAACATATATGACTAGAATTAAATGAATTATTCACAGAAAATCTCTTCTATTGCATTCTGTGGCGTGTTCATGAAAGAAGTTGTGATGGCGGATTTGTGAATGATGAATCATGAATGAATCACACTGATCTGGTTTTCGTGTTTAACTCACTGACTTAACTTTTCTAAATGATATTTTCAATGAATCCGTTAATCCGGTTCACAAAACCAGTCCGAATGATTTGTTCATGACTAATCGGACTAGAGATTTCAGAAAGACCCGGGGTGAACCGCAAACATGATAGAAGTATTGATGCCCAATTTGTAAAATAATCACTCTTTTAAGTTCTTTTCAGTGAAGCGTTTGATCCTGTTCACCAAAACTGGTCTGCATGACTCATTCATGAATCAGATTGATGTGGTTCTGGAGTTAAACTCACTGACTTAGCCGACCAATTTATTTTCGTCGAATCAGTTATTCTCCTGTTCACAAAACTGATCTGAATGATTTTTTCAAGACTAATCGGACTAATCTGGTTCTCGAGTTAAACTCACTAACTCGATTATTCGGTCAAAATGTTTCACAGGCTACTGGAGGGAAAGATTATCAGCACAAATCTATTGTATGTCTTCGTAAGACTTGGATTATAGCACACAAGCCATATGAACCGCTTCATTTTGCATCTTTTGTGAAGCTTTAAAGGAATTTTTAGTGAACAGTTTTTGGATTTGAATCTATGTAGAAGTGTCTGTATGGAACAAAAGCTGATGAAACGCAGAGCAGGGAAGGATGGATAAACACAGAGAACAGACGAAGGAGACTGTACAGATCGCCACCCGAGGCCTAAGCAGTTTCCTGTGAGCACAGAGATTTCAGAGACCCGGGGTGAACCGCAAGCGGTCGAGGAGGCTGTGAGAAAAGCTTTGAGCCAAGTCGCTAAACCTTGCCTTCCATGGAATACATAAACCTGCCACGCCATTTGATTTATCCTCCTCATTCACTCGCTCCTGTTACTCCGAGTTATAAACATTGTGTGGAAACGGAGGGAGAGGAGGAAAGAAAAATCACAGTCAAGAACGGAGAACATCCACCTTTTCAAAAACAAAACGGAGTGAAATAACTCTGGGGATGTGATGTATGACAAACCTCATCACGAAGCTATGTAGTTAATATATCTGGTGTAACGCACTCTTACGCACTCACATACTGGTCTTGTTTTCACCCATTCCCTTATTCTGTCTCACCTGCTGTCTTGTATATCAATCTCTTTTCCTCGTCTCTTTTTGGACACTCACATTTTGTCCATCCATTTTCCTGTGCACAAATCCATTTGTGTCCCTGTGAGATTCGCTCTTGGCCTGCTGTGTGTTCGCTCAACATATTTGTTTGCATTCGGTCTTATCCGACATGATTATGTTTTTGTCCTTATGCTTGTTTGATGTTCATCAGCACAAACATGTTTATTTGTGTGTGTTTGCATGCACAGATGGAGGAGCTGTTGGCCGCCATGGAAAAGGTGAAGCAAGAGTTGGAGTCCATGAAGGCCAAGCTGTCGTCTACCCAGCAGTCTCTGGCCGAGAAGGAGGCCCACCTGACCACACTGAGGGCAGAGCGCAGAAAGCACCTGGAGGAGGTGCTGGAAATGAAGTAAGACCTTTACGCTTGTCCTTCACACCTCTTGGCCCGATATACAGTAGCAATCGCTCGCTGTACGGCTCACTGCCGTCTTAAGGAAGAACATTTTATTGATGGTTGTTTTAAAGGGATATATTATGATAAACAGGATTTTCTTGCTCTTTTGAAAGGAGTATGTAGATGTATTCCATCATTACAAGCGCAGGCTATTATAACTTGGCATGGACGTTGTTCCTCATTTTACTTGCAGAGGGGGCTAGCCAATCATAACAGAGGGCATTCACATATTTTAATCTTAAAAGTACTGTAGAAAAATTATCCTGTTTAAAATCTAATCTTTTAAGTTCCACAAAATCAGTGTTTGAAGGATTTTCGTGGCGTAGGTCAGGGGTTTTCAGTGGACCCCCAACTATGTTTATTTTATTTTATTTAAATAACATGAAAATTTAGTATTGTGCAGTTTACATTCCGCATACTATTATATTATAGTTTTCATTAATATTTTGAGTTAATTTTATATTTTCTTTCATTTTAAGTTTTGTTAAGGTTTTAGTCATTATGATGTGATCTATTTTTTATGTGTCTCCTAGGGGTCCTCTGATCCCAGTCTGAAAATCCCTGGTCAATGATCCATGCATGCAGGCATGATTTTTTTCCTAATGCTGTAGGTAGGCCAGAGGCCTCGAGAGACTGTGTGCTCTGGGGAGGCTGAATGTTTTTTTGAGTGCTTCTTTATTTCAGGCTTTTCCTCATCCTCTGCTGAGCTTCTGCAGACTCATTTCTCCAAAAGATCACTTCAGCAGAATCCAAGAACCCCTCGCTCTTTCTCTGTTTTCTCCCACAGTATTCGCTGAACTCTCTCTTGTCTTTTCTCACTCTCTCTCACAGTCTTTTTCTTAGCAGTGCCTGTGTTTTGAGCACTTCCTGACTAGATAGAGATAAGAGGAGTACTAGAGGAACATAGGAGGTTGAAGGTCTCCATTCCATATTTGAATCAGGATTTAATTAAGGATCCCTGAGTTTCAGAAAGGAGGCCCTCTTGCTGACAAATTAATGTGGCTCCACTGAGATGGGTTTGGGGCCTGGAGGAAAGACCTTGTCTTCTACCTTATAGAGGTAGAATATCTTTCTTATATGCAGTTTTTGAAGAAATATACAGTATCATTTAAAAGAAAGTTGTCTCAACTCAACTCTATTTGGGGTTAGGGCTTCAATTATCAATTGAAAATTTGGTAGCACATTACAATAAATTTAACATTAGATCATGCATTGACAACAGTTAATTATTTTTTTAAATTCAGTTAATAATGCACTTTTGTTTATTAATTCATGTTCTTTCTTAAATACATAAATGTTACTTAAATTTAAGTTGTTGAAATTAAAATGAAAACATGAAGTGAAATATGTATTTTTTTATTAAGAAATAAATAATGTATTAGTTTATATAGCTATTGCCATTAAGGGTTAATAAATGTTATAAAAGTATTGTTCTTCGTTACGTCATGATATTTAATGCATATTGATATTTAAAGAAACTTTTTGTAAAGTGTTACCAAAAATATTTAAAATTAATTGAGTGACGTAATGAATTGCATATGTCCCCCAATTGAAGGTAATTCAGAAAGATGAAACATTGAATAGACAAAAAGTGGCTCTAGAAAGATAATTTTCTAGATTAAGTTATTTTTCCATCTCAATCTGTGATATTATTTTTCTGCCTCTTTTTAACATCCTCTACTGTATATTGACCTCACAGGACTATTGTTTTAGATTGAATATCAAGTGAGTTCAAAATAATGGTCGTGGTTGCGGAAAAATGAGTCAGAATTGGAGTTTCAAGGACTCTCTGTGCTTTCCAGATTGGTGTGGTGATTTGATTGTCAGCCATATTCTCAGAGGCACGGGTCTGCCATCATAACTGCATGCTTCAGTTATGATGGATTCTAGCATTAAAAGAAGATAAAGAGAAAGCTGAGAGATGGTGGGAGTCTTTATCTAGGTGTAATGTGTTTGAGTTAATGCTGCGTACTGATTCCCATAAAGATCATTTTGCCACTTAATATGAAAGAGAGCAGGAGAGCAGGGCCCCATTGCATCCAGATTTGGCTGTTGATAGCAGAAGGTCAGCTCAACTGAGACAGGGAGCGCTGTGCATCTCCACCGGCCTCTCACTAACCACACATTTACAAAAAAATCTCGTATTTGAGTGAAAAATAAGGCTCTGATAGGGATGGAAGGGAGAGGGTGGTCTTCGATCTGTTTTGGGTTGAACGTAATGCGGTCGGGGCCGGAGAAAGTAGACTCACGCTGTTGAAGGGGCCCCGCCGGCTGGCAGCAGACAACTAACTGGACCACTCATTAAAATTTCGAAGGAAAAACACAAAATAGCAGACACAGAGGTCACAGACTTTTTATTTATTTATTTCCTCAGGCTGAACTTCCGACCGCACAGTTTAAAGTCAGCAGTGTGGAGACATCGACCCTTTGGGCTGGTTCTCCATCCTCGGCATCTAAAAAAAGGCAGAATTACCACTCATTCTAAACTCTGTTTCCCTACGGTTTGCAAAGGGCATTTTCAAAATGTTCTGAAGTCTTAGTTGTATTGCCTTTTTTCCAAGTTGAATTTAAGGGGATAGCTCTCTCCAAAATGCCAATTGTCATCATTTACTCCTCTTCATGTTGTTTCAAATTTGCATGTCTTTTTTTTTTTTTTTTGTGAAACACAAAAGCAGATGTTTAGTAGAATGTTCATGCTGCTCTTTTTTCATGAAAGCATATAGTGGACAGGGGCTGTCAGGTTCAAAAAGCTATGGGAAAATATAAAATTATCTATATTCAAAGTCTTATTATATGCAAGAATATGCCATTTGAATGTGCAAAATTTGAAACGGAAAAACCAAGGAAATTTGAATATGCGAAAGTGCAAATGAGATTTGGTTAGAACAACAGTGCACAAGAACACAGTGGTGTTTGGTTGTACTGACAAATCTGGAATGACTTATCTTCACGCACTGTATTTGAAAATACACAAATGCAAATTAGGGAATTCATCATTATTTGGATACACTTTTTTTTAAATGTAACCTCTAAGGGCTTTAATTTACAGCGTAGACACCAAATAGCTCATTAGTTGTTCAAATCTATTGTCAAGGCAAATGAATACCACAATGAGGTCATTATTCAGATAAAACTCACTGAATGTAACCAGCAGTGAGAAAAGACCATTATGAGGTCATCGCTCAATTAAAATCCAAATGGACTGTCAATGGGGTTCTTTGATAATGCATAGAGGTGGATTCAAGCTGTGTTGGCGCCAAGGTTTATGAACGTAACTGTGCTGTACGCAGTGTGGTACTTACATTCGGGCTTGTTTTGTGGAATGACCTGAGGATTTAGAGCGATGGGATGAGGCGGTAATGAGATCTCCAGCACACCATCCCATCCTCATGTTTCCTCTCCATTTAGCACAGTTTAAATGCCCCTGTACCGCTGGATATGAGATATGTGATATCCCAGTGTTCCACCATTTGATGTGGTTTCCTTCGTTCGTTCGCTCTTACTTCCACCAGCTCCCGTACTCCGCTCGGTAAAGTGCGACCGCAAGGCAGAAATCAGTCGTCTCCCTTTGAACAAATGTTTAGCTTTCTTTCTGCAGTTGTTTGGGAGTGCTGGACATTTTGGAGCGGCCGCTTGAGAGGTGGATGATGATGGAGGGGTTGATCTTGATGAAGAGGCCCTTCTCAGATAATCGCTTAAAGGCATTAAGCCACTTGTTCATGTTTTAGGACTTGAAAAGAGCTGTCACCACCTGCGAGGTTCTTAGCTTAGTTCTTACTGTGAAACTCAAGCTCTTGCTTGGTTTTGCAAAGGTCTGGTCCACACAGTTAGGCTTCCCATTTAGACGCGAAGAGACCATCTAAATGACATGTAAAGTGGCAAGCCAGTTGGCTCCATTTGGAGTGTGAATTTAAGCTGAATTGGCCACAACACACAGGAAGTTGAATTTGAAAGTTGGATTTACTTAGTGTTAGTTCACCCAAAAATTTTAATTCTGTCATTAATTACTCACCCTCATGTCGTTCCAAACCCGTAAGACCTTCGTTCATCTTCAGAACACAAATTAAGATATTTTTGATGGAATCTGAGAGCTTTCTGACCCTGCATAGACAGCAACGCAACTACCACGTTCACAGCCCAGAAACCTAGTATGGACATCATTAAAATACTGACACAGTAGAGAAGAAATTGTTGAATAAAGTTGTTATTTTTGTTTTCTTTGCGCACAAAAAGTATTCTCGTAGCTTCATAAAATTCCGGTTGAACCACTGATGTCACATGGACTATTTAATCATCATGAATGAAAATGAATTTTTGGATGAACTATCCCTTCAATCTATCCATCTGTCGTTCTACTGTATGTAATGTTACATCATTCTATCAGCTGTTCCTCAGTTTTCAAACTAGACTTTGTCAGGTGTCAGTTTAGTTAGTTAAAAATTTGTTACATTTCTTTGAATTTCAATTCATTATAATTCTATAAGTGAATTCAGGCTGCAGTTTTACGTCTTGTTTAATTGAAATTTAGGAATTGAAAAGGAATTGAAAAAACAATTTCAGTTTAATTCTTAATGGCAACAACACTGCTTTTCAGATCGTGTTTATCTGAAATTAATTATATCACAATAATAGACTGTGGTGAAAAGTATTCATTTAAATAATGGCATAGCAGACAACAAAGCGTAATACGCCATTCAAAAAAAGTGTCCTAGTGAAACTCTTTTGAAAAATTGATGCCACTAGCCTAGAAAACTGTAGAAAATCCAGTGCTTTGTATGAACTTACTTAGACCCTTAATCCCGGAAGTTGCTTTAAATCAGCCAATCAGATTAGACAGAGTTTGCCAGAGTAAGAAAGCGCTTTTCAGTTTTGTGTACAGTTTTGTGTGCGGTCTGTGGACTCTTGCTAAACCTGCAGCGGTTTGCCGCTTCCCCTTGCTGTAGTAGATCAATATC